ATTTTTTTTTTTTTTTTTTAGAAAAACATTTTTTTAAAGTAGTGTTTATATTGGTTATTCTTTGCACTGAACTAATCATTAAACATGCCAAAACAGACAGAGGAGGGAACAGCGTTCACACGCACTCATCACATAGTGAGGAAGACTACTCTGTATGACATGGACATCGACCCCACAAGGAAATACGCTGTTATTGGATGTCAGGATCGCAGCATCAGGTTTGTTGTCTTTTTTATTTTTATTTTTTTTGCAATGTTGTTATTAATTGTAGTAGAAGTAGTAGTAGTAGTTGTTTTATTATTATCCTGTCCTTTGTGCATCTCCTAGTTGAGCCTGTGTTCCAGGAAAATCCAGGCTATTATTTTGCTAATGTGTTTGTATCATTGTGAACACGTGTTTTTGTATCTATATTTACATCAAGGTGTTTTAATTTCTGTAATTTAAGAATTTCACAGTATCTTGCCTCATTTATGTGGATATGACTGTATAGACTTATATATATCTGGACCTCATCTGACAGGTGTTACAGTCATCTGTAGCCGTGCTCGCAGCGTTAGCAGATTATCACTCAGGTGTTTGTACAGTAGGATGGCATTAGAGGCTTGACTGGTTAATCCAGTCACATTTAGCATGTTGTAGACCATGTGCTTGCACACACACACACACACACACACACACTGAGTCAGCCTGTCTGTACTGTCTGAGACACCTGACCCACTAAAATCATTAGACACAATCTGATTGTCTCATCATGTGATTGTTTTACTTGGTGAATGTCACAAAAATGTAGAAGTCATATTTTAAGCCTAAAGGGAAAACTAAAATTATATTTCGCCCGTTTTTTGTAAGACATTATTTTCATGGTAATTAAACATTTCCCCCCAAATTTCCCCAAGTTTGAGTTTTTGTGTGTAATTTTGTTTTACTATATTGTATTACTATATTACAGTATTTTATAATCATCAAAAACTGATATCTGTACAACAAATTTTGCTATAGTGTATACATTTTGTATTATATTAAATAATATACATTTTTAAAATAATATTTAAAATAATATACATTTTATTTTTTGTACATTGTAGTTATGGTAAGTAATTTTTAAGGAAAGTAATATTTTTATTTATTTATTAATTTAAAAAAAAAATTTTCTTTAATGACCTGGCGATTCGCCCTCCTGCTGATTTGACAATTTTCAAGTTTTGCTCTTTATTCTTCAATATTGGCACTCTTTTCCTCATTGTGCTTTGTAAGTCTCACTGTGCTGTCCCATACAAAAGGGCAACATTAGGAAGGAAGCAGCACAGCGCATGACTTGCAACTGTTTTCCTTTTGTTCATTCAAACTATGACTGCAAATTTATTCTGCACTGTGGGCAAGAAAAATGCCAGGAATGTCGTGTATAATACAGCCGGCCATTTACTTCCTTTGTCTCATTCTCACTGAAAGCAGCGTCTTTTCGATGTCGTTTGGTGCAGCAGCAGTGAATGATCTTAAAAGAAGAAGACCTGACCTATACAAATATATCAATAGAGTCAATAGTCAGTGCTGTAGGCCTCAGTACTGGAGCTCATTCTGGGTTTTCAATGCCTCTAATGGGCACAGACTCTTTTTGTTCCTCGTGTAAGTCATGTGAAGCCTGAGGGGTTCATTGGTTCTGCTCCTCCCAAAGCTGGCAGTGCATTTGTTTGATCTGCTGTAAGGAATGGCAGTTGAAGGCACGAAGGCATAGCACCTCCAGGTGGCTGAAAAAAGAAGGGGGTAAAATACAGTACATAATTCTGCAGCACATTTGCCAAATCGAAAAGGAAGATTTAAATGGTGAAATCATACACTTTTATATTTTTTTTTCTCCAGGCCACTTGTAATGTTAGCCAAGGTTTTCTGAAACAAACCAGTCATTATGTATAATAATACAAAAATGTATTATGATTATTATTATTTAAAGTTTTGGTTTGGTAAGATTTTGAAATATCTTTGAAAGAAGTTTGTTATGCACACCAAGGCTGCATTTATTTAATAAAAATACAGTAAATCATTATAACATTTAAAGTTACTCTTTTTTTATCTTCATATATTTTAAAATTGTATTTATTCCTGTCATGGGAAAGCTGAATTTTCACCATCATAACTCCGTGCTTCAGTGTCACATGATCCCACAAATCATTTTAATATGCTGATTTGCTGCTCAAGAAACATGACTTATTATTATCAATGTTGTAATTGCTTCAATATAAAAAAAGGTTTCTGCTACTTTTTTATTTACAGGATTTTTAACATCTGCAATGGCAAACAGAAGAAAGTCTACAAGGGCTCCCAAGGGGAGGACGGGACCCTTATCAAGGTAGGCAGACCTTGAATGAAAATATTAGCTATGAAATTAATTCATATACTGCTTTTGATCTCAGTCATATGGTTATTGATATGTCTGAATGTGTTTATCAGGTTCAGACGGATCCCTCTGGTCTCTATGTGGCCACAAGCTGCTCGGACAAAAACATCAGCATCTTTGACTTATACACTGGAGAATGTGTGGCCACCATGTTTGGCCATTCTGGTAAGATAAACTCTGTGTGTGAGATTATGCAACAATAATGCTGTATTTTCAAGAAACACTTTTAAGAATAATTGTATCTGCTGAAATCAAGTCTAAGCATTGTGTTGTTGTCCTCTTTTAGAGATTGTAACAGGAATGAAGTTTACTAATGACTGTAAACATCTGATATCTGTGTCGGGAGACAGGTAGATATTCTGAAATCATCAATTTCTCAGATGAAGAATCCATTTTTGACTCACGCTCACCATATTACAATGTTAAATTTGCCTGCTGTTGTGTGTTCAGCTGTATCTTTGTGTGGAGGCTTTGTCCTGAGTTGACCATCAATATGAGACAACGGCTTTCGGACCTGAAACAGAACAGCAAACCTGTTCAGAAGACCCCTCCAAATAAACAACACACACTTGGGTATAAAGCCAGTCAGTCTAATGTGTTGCTTTTGCAATTACACAACTCAAAATGGTGATTTTATAATGTTTTCTGGTTTGTATCAGCACAAGGAAAGAAAACCACAGTGCCCCGGTCATTGGCACCATGTCGTCCGACAGCGACAAAGATGTGGAGGAAGAGGAGGGCATTGAAGAGGAAGATGAGATGTTCCCTCACCTGTCATGGGGCAGCAGTGGTGGCGAGGAGACAGGTAATGTATCCGACACTCTCCAGCAGTCTTAGTAAACTGGTTTGGCTAGTTATATATACTGCATCCGGCTCTTCTGGGTTGGGTTGGGTCAAGTTGTGTGATTTTAGTGGGCGAGACTTCTTCCAAATGTTTATTTTAAGCTTTGTGAGCTTCTAATATTAGTGTTTGTTTCTGTTGCAAGGATCATCTGAAGAAAACCACAACACTCTCAATTCCCACATGAAGAAGGTAAGAAAGTCTGTGACAAGTTTGCATAATTTTAGCTGTGATTCTCTCATTTTGTTGATGCTCTTTAACATACGTTCTCTCTCTTATCAGCAGTCCAACAGTTGTGAACATGAGGGTTCAGGTCCACGACCAAGACGGCGCTGGTCCAGGCGAATGGGTAGTATGGATCTGAAGGTGAAGTCCATGCTGGACCTGAGGCAGCTGGAGTCGTTCGCCATGCCTCTCTTCCCCAGCAAAACCCAAGACGTTCATAAAGATCTTCCACCGCCTAGGAACCAAGAACTAGGCAGCACCATCAGTCTGCAGACTATTGCCGCATGGGTAAACTTTATATGAAAATAAAACATATACGTACACTTCTAACTTTAATATCTAATGTGATACAATGACAAGTATAGTCTCATGGAGCTAAACTTTTCACTGTACCAGCATAAATCTGTTCCACTTTGCAGCTTAAACCGATGAACCAGTTAATTTTTTGGATAAAATTCTAAATGTATGATGCAACAATAATAAACCAGCATGCAACAAAGTTGAAACTCATTAGAATAATACTGCAGTGTCTTAGATAACAGGTCTTGGATATAATATAGAAAAAATAGAATTAAATGAGAATGAATAAAGCTCTTGAAATTATTGCCTTGTATTTGTGCTCATGAATGCAGACTGCTTTGTTTGTTCTGTCTCTTTTTGACTTGTGTATCTTCTCTGTAGGTACCTGAAGAGAATGAACCAGGAGGACAAGCACATCCTCATTATATCAAACTGTCGCCTCAAACCCCAGAGACAGAAGTGCTGTATCCTGAGGGATGTGAAGACCAAATCAGTCTTGCTGGAAGGTCAGTAATCTTCGTAGCTTATTTTATTTACACTATAGGTGTACATTTTCAATATACATTGATTAATTCTGACAACCTAACATTTCTGATCATTTCACACAAACTATCTTTAAAGGGATACTCCACCCAAAAACAGAAATTCAGTCATCATTTACTCACCCACACGTGGTTCCAAACCTGTATGAGTTTCTTTCTTCGGTGGAGCACAAAGTTACTTTAAAGAAAGTTAGGAACAGCTGTGAGACATTTCTCAAAGTATCTTCTTTAATGTTTAAGAAAATAAGTCATACAGGTTTGGAATGATATTACAGTGAGTAAATTAAAACAGAAATTTCGTTTTTGGGTGGAGTATCTCTTTAATTGTGTAGTTAGAATTCATAATATGATACAAAACACTGTTTTGAGATGATCCTCAAATACCTGTCCGCTCCCTTCTCTTTGTTTGTGCGTAGTGAGTATCAAGTGAAAAAGCTGCCTCATGGAGTGAGATGTGCTAAAGTGAACTCTTGTCCTGAGAAGCAGAGTCCAGACAGCGCCTGCTCTATGGAGTATTCCAGCAGTCGTCTTTCAAGCCCTGAACGCCCTGGGGAAGGTATTTAAAAACTAAACTAGTAGACTTGCATGATCATTTCAGTAATTGCAATGGGTGCTTGATGAGATAAAGGAATGTATATTTCCGTGTGTTCGCTGTAGACTCTGAGCCGACTGAGCCATTGAGTGTAGATGGAAACTCATCAGAACTGGATATGGAAGATCTTGATGAGGAAGAGGAGGACAGCCTGAGGAAGAATGAGGTTCAGACTCCTGTACCTCAGACCCCAGACCAGGAGGCGTTTCTCAAAAGGCACTTTGCAAACCTGTCAGACCTCAACAACACTGGTAGGGTGTTTGTACTGTACATGTTCACAATTTGCTTAAAACATTTTTCTTTAATGTTAGAAGGAGGTCTCATACTCTTTTTCTTTGGCAGCAATTCCAACCAGAGTAACTCCAAATATCTCTGACAGCATGTCATCGAAGTTTCTCTTTCAGAACTCTCCTAGCAGGTAAGAAACATTCACACTTTGACCAAATCCCTTCCAACCGTGACATCTATTTTCAATGATATTTGGACTTCTGAAGGGCAAACATGACCATGCTCTGCCCTTTCTTTACCAGAACTCCATTCCCGTTCCCCTCAAACAAAAGCAGTGACATTAAAACCACCAGTGGAGTTGTACGGCCACTTATCTCAGAGGTGCGGCCCCTCATGGAGAATAAGAGTCCAGGCAAACAGCAGGAATCCCATGGAACTGAGAGGACAACAGGTCAACGTTTAATCCAGAAGAAACGCACGGCCATCATGGATTCCCGCAGACTGATCAGCCCTGTCGCTAAAGCCGCCGCAAGTCACAACAGTTCTGCAGGCATGAGGAAAGCTCAGTCTATCCACAACATCTCCTCAGAGGGTAAATCATCCATGAACTGGTGCTACTCAATATGGTGATATGGAGTATTTCACATAGGGTTTAGGATATTGTTTTGCATTAGTTACTCCATGGGGCTCGTCTGCTTTACTCGCATTAATCACTTGTTTCCTCCCTCTTCTGATCAGCTGACGCGGTCCAGATATCCAGTCGTCCTTTTAAGGAAGTCCATCCACAGTCGCAGACTCCAGACCACCAACAGACGCAAAGACCACGGCGTTCCCTTCCTACCGTCCCGCTCATCAGCCCCACGACTGCCCTGCCAAAGGACATCACCACACCTACCAAATCCAAATCCCGTTCCTACATGAGTCCTACCACTAGCTCTATGGCCAAGATGTCCCGCTCTGTTTCCATGGGTGACAACTTGAATGTGGTAGAGCTAGAAGACACAGGATCTTCAGACCTACGCCGGGGCTCAAGTTCGGACACTTCCAACCCTCGGAGCACCTCCCAAAGCAAGCCCACCACTCCTGTTGCCCAGGTTTCATCCCCTAATACTTCGGCATCCCCATTTCCAGGCCCCTCCATGCCCCATGCAGCAGTCATACCCACGCTGAGTGCTGGCTCAACTGGAAACTCTTCCTCTAAAGGTCTCCAGGTCAAACTGACTGGCAGTGCTCGACCACTGCTCCATATAGACATTCCTAATCCTCTTCCAGATAAACCCTTGTTATCTTCCCTCTCGCCATGCAGCAAGACCCCCAAACCTGAACAAAAGGAAAAGGAGTCCTCAAGTAGAACTCCAACAACTCCCTCTTCAAATCCTGGAGCAGTTCACTTGCCCAACAGCATTGTACAACCGGTCACAGCTGTTTGTTTGAGTCCATCTGAAACCCCAGACCAGATTGAGCTTAGTATGGTACTTGTTCCCAGCCAGACCAAGAATTTAACGGAAGATGAACTCCACTCGCACACAGAGCTGAGAAAAGAGGACACCTCCCAGACTGAGTGCCCTCCCATGAGCCGGTGCAGTCTAAGTCTTCTTCAGTCTTCCTCAGGATCTCAAGATTCAGGTTGGCCAGGACATCAGTCTTCCCTTGTTCCATCTTCTGTTCTGCTATGGCTTGGGCTGTCTAAACACTTCTTTACCAAAGGGCTCTGGCCTCTCTCATCCTCTACCTCCTTCATCACATCCTTCATCTCTTCTTCACCCTCTTCCCCCATTAACCATTACCACCTGCAGGGTGAGGCATGCTCCTACTAACACTTGCTGTAACGTCTATCCTCTAATCCAGTGGTACTCAACCAGTTAAAGGCACAATATGTAATTTTCGCCGCTAGAGGGCGTGTATTCAAAATAAACAAATAGACAAAGGCGTAGTTTGATGACGCTGTGACTGAGTATGAAATCATGGGTGTTGTCCTCTTCATCCCCACAGCCGATGCAATCCGACGGGACTCGGGCAGAAATCATGTTCATGGATGAGCTAATGATTTATTAACGTAGTAGAATGAAGCAGGGTGACGCTGAAAGCCGTCGAAGCGAAACGAGGGCGCTGAACGAGCGTGACACACGGCTCAAAAGCAGCGGAGCTTTTATTATGCCACAGTCGACCGCTTCCGCTCCTTCCGGTCGTGTGTATGTGGGGGAAAAAAGCAGCGCTGTTTTATCATACTAGATAATTTGAAAGTTCTGTTATAATGCTACTCTGTGCGGTAGGGCTGAACGATTTTGGAAAATGAAAAATCGCGTTATTTCATATCACTTTAACACTGTTGCCACGGATTGTTTTTCATGTCCGTGGGTTGAAGTGACCCTAATAACGTGATATTTAGCCCCTGGAATGCGAATTGTACCAGGGGAACCCCACCAAATACATGTATTTTTATCCCCCGGAAGGCGATTTTTACCAGGAGACCCCCCTCGAAACACGATTGGGCTAGTTTTGGGTAGCAATTGGGTGGGTTTTGTTGCGAAAACCTGGCAACCCTGCAGTAGGGTTAATATTTTGTTAGGGCAAGGGTATCCAATCCGAAAACTTGCAGTTTGCACGTGTTTTAACCATTACAGTTTAAAACCAAGTGATTTTAAACCATTGAAGTGCAATCAGCAGCGAAAGAGAACTCATTTCGCTATATGCGCGTGCTGTCTGGAGCAAAAACAGGCGCATGCACATGAAGTTTCCATGCTCAGAGTTTGAGAGTATTGGAGTTATTTTTGCCTCTTTAAGGCCTTGAACGGTTAAACACACACTTGTATGTGTCAAAATGCCTGTCTATGCAAGTATCCTCTTAAACACAGTAATTTAAGTCTTAAGTGAAAGCAAACAGCTGAGAAAGAAAACGTGTAACAGTATACTGGATCCAGGCAGCTCCTAAAGTGACAGCTGTCTAATATTCCTGCTGTCTGACATTCATGTTAATCAAACAACAAAAGAGAGAATATCTCTCACTGTTCTTGACTAAATAACTTTTGTAACTTTAAGAAGAATTAATTAATTTACACAGTGAAGAATATGCAGTGTTTTAATTACTTTATACAACGTATGTAACATTTCTTATTTATTTGTTCTACTGTAGTTTTTTTTTTGTCCTCTTGCTTGTAATTAGTTTTTTATTATTTAATCGCTGACAGTTTACTTGTCTTCAGTGAGTTTTTTTATTCTTTTTTTAATTTAGGCTAGTACTAGTTTTTTGTGATACTGACATGGTGACAAGAATTATGACATTTCTGTGGTATCAAAAAAAGCCTTATTTAAAGCAAAAATAACTATAACGTGAAATGAAATTAATTGTATCGTGATTTTGGTCATATCACTCACCCCTACTCCAGGACCAAAACTGTACCTGGAACAACTTTCCTACCAACAATTCATTAACCTCTGGTCTTTAGGACAAGGTCCTGCAACAATATTCTTATGATTAACCATTTCCCTCTGGTTTTAATCTTGGGGTTGTTCTTTGGAATGTTGTTTCAGGAATAACGAATGACGTTCATCCATGTCATATTTCTGTAAATCACTTGTGCTGAGTACCACTGCACAAAATAATTTTCCATGCTCAGTTCTCAGATTTACTTTTCTTTGTATGCTCAGTCAAAATTGTATGTTTTTGTTGCTCAGCTCATTTTAAGACACAGTATGACTCTAACAGAGCTCGGTTTCTCCTCTGCAGACACATCTCTCAGTGTGGATTCTTGTAGGCTGGCTGCCAATGAATTGCAGAGCAGTTTTAAAAGAGCCTCCCACCTCTACAAAATGGTAGGTTATCATTTGGCCTCATTCACATGTAATTGTAGAGTAGGCTGCACTTCAGCCCATACGTCTGCCTAAACTGTTTTGTGCGGGTGACTTGAATCTAACTTTGCATATGTGTGTGCGCTCCTGTAGCTAAGCAACTCCACCGACTCCAGAGAGGAGCAGCAGGAAATGGCACATGTGCTGGCCGAAGCATTTGAGGCGATGAGAGACGAGCTGAATTGCCTGCCACCATGCACTCCTTCAAGATCTCCCAGCACTTGCACTGTGCGCACAATAGCTAACAGTGATGCAACATTAGGTGATGACAGGACACTTGCCCTTTTAGAGCAGTACTCCAGACTGCTGCTCAGTGCAGTGGAGAAGAGGATGGACAACAAAATCTGATTTCTGTGATTTCTAACAGGATACCAAGCCATGAGACTGCACAGCAGACTCTTTTTAAATAGCGAGGAGCTTTTAATAAAGAGATTGAAAAGAAATTCCACTATCCTACCTCCCTGTTTAGCATGCTACTATGGCAGCAACACACCCCTGACTTTTCTCACCCCTTTGCAAAATGTTGTGCCCTGCTACTAAAAACGCATCCAGATAGTTTGGCCATCGTAACTTTTGAATGACCTACACGGCATCAGGGAGAGTAACTGATTATATGGTTTTGTTAACTGCATGGTACAGCAAAATTGATTCAGTGGTTATCGTCTTAAAAGACGAATAAGCATTTTTATATGGATACAATATTCTGTCATGTGTAAAAACAAACTGTTGTTGAAAGGAATCTCCAGCAACCACCATTTATTTGAACATTGTGTTTGATATTTTTAGAAATTCTCAGTGCTCTCTTACGAAGGGATCGGTATCCCTGGAAGTCTTTGCAAGGCAGATTTGGCTCACTTTTGCCTTTTATTATGGAATGATTTTTATACTGTATGTTGTGTTTGTGCTGATACTCTCGAGTTGAATTGGGATGTCGGGGTTCATATTTATTCTCATGTGATAGGTCAAGGAGTCGCACAGAGGCTCTTCAACGTTTGTTTGTTGTATAGTGTCAATGTCCTGATGCCCAGCAGAGTCAGTTGGGTGCCAGAGAAAAAATGGGGGAATTTGAAGGATGATTTTGTATTGTTTTATTTGCAGGACTTTTTTGTACTTGAATGGTAACCGTCTCATGGATACAGGTGCCTTAATCTCGACCAGCAATTTGTTTGAAGGAATGAATCTGGCATTTGTAATTCAAGCAGGTTATATAACGAAATGATCAGTGATATTTGGATGTTGTCCACCTCCAATTGATTAATTCTAGGCTGCAGATTGTGACAAAAACAAAACTGCCATAAAAACACTGAATTGAATTGATTGTTCTGGTGACACTGATAGAGTTGCAATAGCCAAGTAGATAAAGTTGTGTGCACAAATTATGAGAACGGTTTACAGATTTTACAGAACTTTGATTTTTAAAATACCCTTATCCTGAAAAGCATTTTTACAGGAAAACTCGTTTTCCAATTATGACTTCTTAAAGGTGTTTTATTGTTATGTGATGTGCTGTTATTTTCCCAAGAGCTACACAAAACAGTCACTCTGTATTCCAGTCTTTCCCACAATCCATTGCTATCTAGGTTAAGGTGTCGCCTCTTTGACCTCTGCTTGAAACAACTCTTCTTTTTCCGTGATAATATTGATAATGTACAGTAAGGCACTTGTTGTGTCATTAAGCTTAATTCAAAATGATGGCGTAATATGTTAAGTGTACTGTAACTTCTTATATAGATGGACCTGCACATATTTTAACGTGTCCAGCTCTTCTACTGATACAAAACCAAGCTAAAGCCAGGTGCACACTGTACGATTTTGGGATCTTAGAAGATTTTTTTTGTCAACGGGACAAATTGACGGGAAAATATTGACAGTCTTTGATCGCTTAAGTTAACGCCGTCAGTGGTGACCAAAGATTTATATCATAGAGCCTGACATAAAATACAGTCGACATGGCTTTTTCTCACAGGTGTCATATTGTACGATCTGACATCAAAAAAAAAAAAAGTTGTACAGTGTACACCCAGCAACTAGTTCAGCTGCAACTTGCCTGGTGTCTGAGATGCATAAATTGTATTTATTGACTTGATGCTTAGTCACATTCTCTTGTGCTTTTGGTACAAATTTACTAACAATGAAAGATGCAAAATGTGCAATTGCCACAACAATGCAAATTTTTACCCAACTGTTACATACCCCTTTTCACCAATGGCAGATTGCACTGGCAGTCTTGTAGTTAAATAGATTTATTTACACCCATTATTGTATGCAACTCTTATTTGCCATCTCGTGACAAATGCTATGGCTTTAAGCAAGACTGAAAATGCATGAGATTAAAAATGATATATAAAGTAAGCCCAAACAGATCTGATTTAGCTAGCTAGTGGGCTAGTGATGTAGCAGAAGTGAAAACCGTACAGTAGGACTGCATCAGTAACAAAAGTACTGTGTCAGAATCCGCATGAATACACTACATATGCATGAGGAAAGGCAGAATTTATGGTTGGCTCGCTCCCTGAACTAGAATGCATGGTTGTACGCTTGACCTGCTCCTCATGAACAATCATGCAAACCTTCTGCTTTCAGTGCTATCTCTGTGGTGACCAGCTCTGCTTTCCTCTAACCTATTGACAGTTGATCAAGATGTAGTCTAGCATTACAGATGGACCAGTGCTCTCTAAGACCGTTTCTTTTTGGAAACTTGTGACTGTCTTACCTTTTGCTCCAAACCGAAGGTCAAGTGTTTCTATTCTCAGTGTTTATACAATCTGTCACCTGAAATCTCTTTCTCAGAGAAATCAAAGAAATAAAACTGTATTTATTACATGTTAAACTGCATTGTTTATTGCAATATATATTCTACTAGATCACGAAAAATGTACATGCATATCTCATGAAGTCTCCACGTGTAAAGCCAGCAACTGTTGATAATCGATTATATCAACCAAATCTTCACCTTTGAACAGTCTCACAGTGATCCAACAGCGTTTGTCAAGGACTCCACAAGCTGGAAGTAATTGTACTTGATATCATATTCCATGTCATACCAGAAATTCACTGTCAAGACAAAAAGAGCCGTTTCATTCATTAGTTTCACTGTAGAACGCAAGTAAAGTACAGAACAGAATTTGCAAGCCAAGTTGGTATTGTTTGCGATATTACTGGCGGTCAAATCACCAACCCGCTATGCAGCCATGAGACTGTCTAACGTGGTGGAACCACAGGGAGGGCAGGTACAGCATCTCTCCAGCTTTCACAGTGCAGAGCAGAGGTTTAGCCAGCCTGTAGGAGGGATATCTATCATAATCTGGGTTCAGGGGGTCTAGAGGGATCCAGGGCACCTGAAAGATTGCAGGATTATTTTTTTAATAAATGTTTTAAAATGTATAATCATAACATTAATGTAAAATATACAATTGCATTCCAATAAGCATTTGTAAATTATATGAACTCACTTTGGTTGAATCTTCCTCATCCACTATTTCAAAGTTGCCATCTTCTTTCTGTCTGTATGTCGCTGGCTGGTAGAGCTCTATGTTGAGGAAATAATACACAATGTCAATAGATGGTCCTGAGGCCATTTTCTTGTTAAAAAGCATTCAGTTTTCAAACTAAGCAAGAAAAATAAAATAGCTGGATAAAGAGACAACTTCTTACCATACGGTATGAAAGGTCTATCAGTCGGCGGAAGCAAAATAAACTCTTTCTGGCCAGAGATCACACAATACAGGTTCTCATAATGATCTTTATGCACTACAGAGGGAAAAAATGGTGCTGGCTCACAAAAATGCTTACATAAATTAGTGTTTAAAACCGTGGTTTTCAACCGTTTTGACTACATTGCCCCCTATTGTCCACAACAATATTTAACCGTCACCCATCCCCTCTGTGGGACGCCTAAGTTTACTTCACTATATTACAATGAAATCCGAATCTAATCATGACAAACTATATATCGTTGGAAAGGTCTAAGACTCCTAAATAGATATTTTACCAATGTTTTTGTTAAAAATTATGTAGGAAAAGTAATAGATTAATTTATGACAAGAGTGCACCTCAAAAATCTACATCATAACAGGAGTTCTGACCTTTGTAAAAAAAAAAGTCTTCTTTGTTGCCTTTTTCTCGATCACACTTTAGAAATCATCAGAAATTATATATCAATTGAAAACTTTAAATCTCAAAATTCATCCTTTGAAACCCATTTTAAAATCAAACATTGCATTACCATGAAAATGGTACATCAATATCATGTTACAAAATGTTTTCGTTCATGAATTATAAAAATTTAAGTTTGGATCGTGCACTTTCACGTCTATGTTCAAAAATGTGAGTGACAGTTAAGGGGTTAAAGGCCAATAATGGTAATTTAAGTATTTAAAAAAATATTTTTTACTCACAATTTCTACCAAATAACATATTTTAGAGCTTGGCCTAACTAGAAAAATGCATATTCATTATTAAAATACCCATGTCGTTTTATGATTTTATTCATTTACATGACTTTTCCATATCAAGAATTCATACTTTTAAACTTAGACTACCTCATATATAAGATTTCTGTGGATATTCTGGTTCTTTCATGAAAAATAAAACATTTGTTAAGGGAGTGAATTTAATATTTTTTGTTGTTTTAGCTAATGTTAAAGGCAGAGTAAGTGATTTCTGGTAGCCAATGTTGATATTTGAAATCACCAAAACAAACACGCCCCTACCACAAAAGGGTCTTGCCCCTATTTTGATAGCTCCGCCCCACATATACGTACGCAACCCAGGCAACGATTATGAAAAATCACTTACTCTGCCTTTAATGCTTGTTTTGGCCCGCTAAAGTTTACAATATTTCACGTTTACAAACAAATGAAGACAAACTGACTTGATGTGACAGCGCTTTCCTCCCCAAGCCAGAAATTTACAGCATCAGGCTGTTTTCCTAAATTATAAAAATTTACATTTCACATTATTCAGCCATTATCCAATCAAAGGCACATCCAGGTAGATAATGAATGCAAAATGTGTGGACTTACCAAGAGCTTCACTCATCCAGGGGATGTGAGTCTGTACGTCTCCCGTCAGCTCCGGTAACTCCTCAGTCAGATTTGAGCATTGCTTCTGAACGTAAAATACACCACTGCACTTCACCTTCCCCTCAATGATATCCAGCAGAGAGCTAAAGGTCGTCTGACGCTCCTCTGGCATCACAAAGCGATCCCCGTTCACGGCATCTGCATATCCGTTTGGAGTGACAGCCACACTGATGACTTTGGAGCCCACTTTCTCTCTGCACAAATGTGATAAAAAAAAAAAAAAAGTTTTGCAGAAACATTTTCAGGGAGGAAAGTTTAAATGTTAGAACTCTCAGGCTGATCTGATCATCTGATTGGCTCACCTGAGATATGTGGGGTTCCATTTAGACAAAGCTGGCCAATCACTGAAGGCATTGTGAATGATGCAGGGCTTGTTGGGACCAATCCAGTCACGATAAAACTGAAGTGGAGAGAGGGGCCCATCCAGGTATGGCACTGTATCATTAAGATAAAGCTCTGAGGAAGAGAAGACAACGATATCACTGATATAAGTCTTTACAAGTCTTTCAACAAAAAGGTCTTGCTTATGTTTTTAACGTTATGTCAAAAAAACAACCTCACAGTAACATTGTTTTCGTAACGATTAAGCCCAATTTTATATACTTCTTTTAATTTTGAGGTAAGATATGATATGAAAATATATGTTATGGTGCAGAAGACATTTTTTCTACTGCACCAAAATATATAATTTAACATAAAAAATGATAAATTTAAATATTCTATTGCATGAAAATTATCTATATCTTGTCTGCTTTTTTATCGTCATATGAATGTATATTGTAGTATAGTGTTCAGATGTCAATAGACAGTAAGTGAACTCACCCCGAGCTTCTTTAGGAAAATTTCTCAAGCATTCTTTAACTGCATCCATAACACTATCCACATGTTTCTATAAAACTAATACTGACTGGTGATTTTTCACATGCCTCCGTCAGCTTAAAATACTCATAATATACTTTCTTCCCATGCATGCCTACCAATTCATACTATACAATGGAGTATTAATGTTTTAAAATAATAAGAGACCGCTCGCATGCACTCATCACATGTTTAACAGTTGTTTAATGGTCGTCTTCCGCTCATGCGCAAAAGGGACTGTTTACAGCGTCGTGTCTGTCTCCCTCTACTGGCCGGAGACTGCACTTCAGGTAAATGTATTTATTTATGTTTTAAAGTAACGTTTTGTTATATTGTTAGCCCAAAATGCAACAACAACAACAACAAAAAATATATATATTAAAAACATTTTTTTTAGTTCACTAAACAGAACTAACTCCTTAGTTTTGATGGCATGATTTGTCACGCCTCTGTGAGTAGCTTCACACTTGACGCCAATTAGATCGCATCCACAGGTAAAGTGCCAGCACTATTATTTGGACTAGGATACTTTTCTCGTTTTTTGCAAATCTGTTTTCTTCCAATGGACCTTAAGGAACATGGATGAGGAGGCATCTCTCGAAAATTACTTTGACCAGAGTATTGCTGTAAGTTGTGAAATAAATGGCTGAAATTGCCAAGTCTTTGTTAGCTGAAAACATAATCAGTCTAATCGAGAGGCACTCAAGTCTGCATGTTCTTATAACAAATTAAGTAATTATAAATAAGAAAATCAGCATATTTAAGAGGAAATATGGAATAAATAAATACATTTGAAACCTTACAACAGAAATGGAAAAAATGGACAAATTAATAAAATAAAATATTTCAAATTAAATTAAAATATGACTCAAATATTGCTGTACACTTTAAAATGTTAACAATGCATTTAAAATATTTATTTTATTTTTTTTAAATAAATGTCCTTGTCATTTATGTATTCTTTTATTTATTTGGAAGTTTGTTTCCCTTTAACAATATATGGTGCTTTAAATTTATATTGATGCATTATAGCCTATAATGTTTTTTTGTTTGTTTTTGGTTCTCCTAAGGGTTCATCTGATTACATCTTTGAGGGGGATCTGGGCCTA